CACAACACTTGCAGTACTATTTTTAGCAAGTCACAACACATGCAGTACTTTTTTTTAGCAAGTCACAACACTTAAAGTACTTTAGTTTAGCAAATAACAACACTTGCAGTACTTTTTTTGACCAAGTCACAACACTTGCTCTACTTTTTTTTAGCAATTCACAACACTAGCAGTACTTTTATTTTTCAACAAGTCACAGTACTTGCAGTTTTTTAATCTATAAATTTCAAATATATATATTTGCAGTGTTTTAACAAAATAATATCTAATCAACTCTCTGGAAACAATATCTGCAACAAGCTGAAACCTTTTCATGCAATGTTCTACAGCTTTGATATCCATTATAATAACCAACCTTTAATAATTTTTAAATCTTTTAAATAGCGCTTTGGCTGTTTCAAACTAAAAAACAAATAAAATATTATTAAAAAGAAATAATAATGATTTGCTTATTTTTTATCTCATATAGTTTTGTCTTGGCTTTTAGTGAATGATTACAATAATAAATTTCTTTTAGCTAGTCACAACACTGGTAGTATTTTTAAGCATTTGTAGTACTTTTTTAGCTTAAATTTCAAACTTGTACTTTCACAGTGTTTTATTAATATAATACAAAATTAATAAAATTGTAACTCTTCTGAAATAACATCTGCAACAAGCTGGATCTTTTTCATGCAATGGTCAACAGCTTCCATATACGTTTCATCATCTTTCCAGTAAGAAATAGTGTAAACTAAGTCATTTTTTCAACGAAATACTTTTTCTACTCTGACATTATACAAAACAGGCTTGAATGTTTAGGATCATATCATTCATGGTATAGTTTTTTGCCTACAATTCTTCTATAAATCAAATCAAATATATTCTGAATAAAGTTGTTACATCAAGGATATTTACAAATAGTAATTTGTACTAATATAAAGTAAACACCTGTCAAACTAAATAAAAATAAGATGGATATAGTAATAATAATAATTATAATACAAGTAGGAATAATAAAAGTAATAGTAGTGATTATAGTGATAAAAAAAATAATAGTAGCGATTATAAAAAGAATATACTATAATAATAATAATAATGATAATAGCAATAATAATAGCAATAATAACAACAAAAATAATAACAACAACAATAATAACAATTACAATAATATTCATTATGATAAAAATATAGTAATAATAACAACAACAGTGATAAGAGAATACTATAGAAACATATCAGTTTATAATAATAAATTTAATAATTGATATTAAAATTAGTAATATATCACGATAGAAAAGAGAAGAAATAAAAGATGAATAGAAGCACCGCGTTATGGTTATAAATAATAAGTTGTAAAAAGGTATAAGATTTATAAAGAGTATTTTTCTAAAAAATGATTAAAGAGAGCAGTTTTAAATTTGGAGAATGATTTAAGAGATTTTAATTGGGAAGGGAGATTGTTCCAGATTTGTATGCTTTTATGTTGTATGGATTCGTAGCCGTAATGAACAGTTCGGTATTTAGGTACAGATAATTTAAAGTTGAGAGCAGATCGTAGAATATATTTACAGTTTTCCCTATGACTAAAAAAGTTGATAAATGTAAGAGGTAAGTTATTATGATTTTGGTTCCAAACAAATAGACAATTCGATAGCTGAATAGGGTCACACAATTTAAGGACATTAGATAAAAAATAGAGCATGCTACAGTTCGAATTAGTATATTGAAAGTAAATTAATTTTAGAGCTTTGTTTTGGAGATAAGTTAGTCTTAAAAAAGCAAGCTGCTTAGATTGTCCCCAAACTTGGCAAGCATATCTGAGATGAGAGTGAAAAATAGCATGATATAAATTGAGCAAAGTTTCATGGTTAACAAAATGACGAATTTTAGCTAAAATACCATTCGATCTGCTTAATTTCAATGCTAAGTCTTGAAGATGCGATGCAAAAGATAAATTAGAGTCTATTTTGATTACAATATATTTAATAAAGTTAACTGGATTTATTTATTGGCCACTTAATCTGAAATTTAATTTAAATATAACAATTTCCGTTTTTTTAGAGTTAAGAGATAATTTATTGGAGCGGAGCCATACATGACATCTTCTAAATTATAAAGTTGGTCATTAGACAAATTTTTGTATGAATCTATAATTTCATCATAACTCAGTTTGGATAGCTAACGCTCTAACACTTTTTGCTCTAACTTTTTTCTTTTTCATCAATTTTTTGGCTCTTGGATGCCTGTCTTTGGGAAATATTGGCTCTAATTTTAGCCTGATGCAATCGATTGCTAACTCTATTTATTCGCGCTTCATGAACTGAGCATTTAACAACTTTATCTCTCAAATTAATAATATAGAAATCTTACCAGCTGCAACAGATGACAAGGATATTAAAGATTAAATAATACAATGATACAAAAGATTAAATGGTGCATGTAAAAATTACATATTAAATATACATATATAGTACATATTAAATATACAATAACATAGTACATATTAAATAGTACAATACTGCATAATACACAAAATCAGACTATATTTCTCAATAAATACACATAAAAATACACATTAATCTCTTACCAATTAATGAAGTAAGTGTTGCTAAAGAATTAAAAAGAAATAAGTAATAACAATAGTCATATAATGTTGAAAGATTAACAGTTAATCATTAAAAAAAATGTCTAGTTTTTACCTAGGCTTTTTTAGAAAAAGATGCATGATACAACAAGTAGTAGCATATTGCAATTGTTATTGGAGAGACAATGTAAAATAAAATATGTTATAATATTACTAACATGTCAGTTACATTTTTAAAAAATTCAACTTTAAAGTAAGGAAATATTAAAATTCATTTAATAACTTTACATTGAAGGCAAATAATTTTTTTAAAATTTTAGTAAATAGGAAACAATATTAAAAACTTTTATCAATATTTCTATTTTCCATTTTATTTAATCTAAAAAAAAACTGGAAATTTTATTTAATCTAAATCAAATATAAGCAATGTTTATTTACCCCTCTGTCTCCCGCGACCACTTCAGCAAAATGAAAATTAGGTACCAAAAGTGCGACAAAAAATAGACACCCTGCTACAACTTTTTTTTCAATGAAATTTTCCAGGTGTAAATAAATGAAAAACTTAAAAAAAAGAATAGTCTAGAAAAAAAAAGAGCATATCTTCGACATTAATTTCATGCCCAAAGTACAGCAAAGTTTTAGACATCAAAAAACTCAATAAAAATCTGGTAAAATAATAAACCTCACAGTAATAAAGTTTAACTATTCTAGTTTCTAAAAATAATCTATATTGATATCAAATTCTAAAAAGTTTTTCAACTAAACACGTTTTCTCTACGCTGGCTAAAAAAAAATCTATAAAGCGTGGCACAGTTTTTTAGCACAGTATTCGGTTCCGTAAAATGGATATTTCCACGTACCTATCAACAGTCAGATAAATGTAGCAGAGAATCACAGTTTTTATTATACTAAAACATCTTTATATTGTTTTTATCATTTTTGAATTAACAACTCAATTATCTTTATTATTATTTCATTCTATCAAAAATATGCAAATAATAACTACTAAGTAAAACTTTAAAGATGTTGTTGCTACTCAGAAAAATTTTTGTATCTAAAGGTCGTCACCATCTTTAAAATTATAATATTTGAATTTGACACTGCGCTTGCGTATAATAACTTTCCACACCTAAACGACCGTGAGCCCCAAATATGAGGGCAATAAGTTACCGAAATTTATACTATTGCTAATCTAAACTAAATTTATATTTATCAACAGATTGCAAATCTAATAGATGCAATAGACCAGGAACCTATTACATCTCTGTAAAACTGTTCAGCCTTAAGTTGTTATTTATTTACCCAAGTTTCTGTTTAAGTTTGAATCCTTATTAATGGAACTGTGTCTTTTTCCAGACAGATTTTAGGTGTTTAAAGAGCTGGTTCTCTGGACCAGACGTGTTACTACCTGGATATATCGTAATAAAGTGGGTAATATGTCATTCGAAAATATGACGTCTACAGGCAAGATTAAGTAGTGGCCGCCCCAACTTATACGATATTCTCGTTAAAATTCCTTGGCTTTCCAATGATGGAAGCAGTAGTATCGAAGCTTTATTTGGTGATTGAGAAAATCTCACTGATTGGAGCCTGGAAACTACCAAAACCCCAAAATTTGTGCCCACAACTCCAAATGTGAGGGCAATAAGTTATCGAGTTTAATGCTATTGTTATTTGAAACTAAATTTATATTCATCGACAGATTTCAAACTTCATTTAATAATATTTAAGCGTTTTACCATTTTTGAGGCTGAGGGGCATAAGTTTTAGGGTTTTTGTAGTTTCCAGGCTCCAATCACTCCAATTTTTTTCGAAGCATCCTAATTTGATACAAGTATAAACATACCCAGGTTTGAAGATCCATGAAATAGGAAAATCTTTTTTTAGTTTAATCTAATTCAGAATTAGATTAAACTAATTAGTTTTATCTAATTCTGAACCTGATATATATACACACACTAGATGTCTAACTTGCGGGGTTTTATTGCACGAAAAATGAAGCCACTTTTTTGTTTACAAATTTAATTCGCCATTTCTAAAAAGGGCAAAATACTAACCGTCGGGGATAGTGCAAATCTGCGTAACTGGCATTGGCTACTATAATTGGATATTAATTTTAAGACCAAATATCTATTATTGAAATAACAAAAAACACGAGTAATATTTTTTATACTAAAATATACCCAAAATCTGTTGAGATAAAAAAATAAATTTCTAAACTTCTCCTGTAAAAAACTGTACTCTAGATACGCGGTATTATCTGATGCTAGTTACGCGGTTTAGCACTATCCCCGACGATATAGTTGATGTTTTGGAAGCCATTTCTAATTGGCTTGACTTTTCAGATCGAAGTTAGACATCTAGTATAAATAATATATCATTGGTTTAGGGCTTTAAATATTTAAATAAAAAAATAAAAATAAAAACACAAAAATTTATTCACTATTTTATTTTATTTTTTATTTTTATTAAACAAAAAATGGCCATTTTAAAATTTACAAAAATGAAGAGAATAAAAACACAATGCATACGCCATATCGAATAAAAATATGAAAATGTTGAATAAGTGGCTGGTAAATATTTTATGAAGTTATTTCCTTATGGTATTTTTAATTTCTTACGTTACATTTTTAGAGTTCAGAACTATAAAGAAATACAAAAGTAAAACGAGATATATATAAAAAATAAGTTAATGTCTAAAAACAAAGATTATAAAAATAGTTTATATTTACATCAAATCGAAAATTACATAAGTTACAGGAAACAAGAAGCTTTATTTAAGAAGCTTTATTTAACATATATAAGTTACAACACGCAGTTGTCTTTTTTCTAGCACAAAGTATATTCAATTAAAAAGAAGTTCTAATAATATAAATAAATTAAGTTTAAAGCTATCTTTGTTTTAAAAATGTTAGATATAAATAAAAAACAAAAACAATTTACATTTGAGACTCATTTAACAATCCTTTAGATTCCTCCTTATCATCTGGATTTTGCGCAGTTAGAAAAGAGCTTAGGCTATGTAAAGAAGCAGCAGCACTCATCATGCCCTTATTAAAAAACAGCTGTGACTTTGGTCGTGACAGTTGCTCTCTAGAGTCTTCTCTCAAAAGAGGTTGAGAAGGTGATTTTTTTACTCGTTCATCTTTGTAACTATTCATTTCTTTTGACGAATTATTTACAATAGTTACCGGAAACGTATCATAGTCTAAATGATTAGTACTGGTTTGAGAGAAAGATCTACGTAAAGGAAATCCTTCTTTTAAATTGTTATAATCAGTAGAATCGAAGCAAGGCAAAGAAAACTTGCGAGGTTGAAATAGTTGATCATTAAATGTTACCGTACTATTTCCAGGAGAACCTTCTAAAGGCTTGACGTCTTTCAAAAAGTTACGCATGACACTTTTTTCTGCAGCATTACGAAAACTTTGACGACTGTTCAAATTTGGATGAAATAAAATTATAATAACTTTGGTCCAGTACAAAATAAGCAGTGAGCTAAACGAAACGGCTAAATTTATGCAAAGAAATGCAATGTTTCTCTCGTTGGGTCCAAGACTGACATAAAGCGGTATGTAAGTAAGCCACAAAATAAATACAGTAAACATTGCATAAGCAATACGTTGAGCTTCATTAAAGTTTTCCGGAAGTTTGCGTGCTCGAAAAGCCATGTAACCATTTAAAATAACAAAAATAAAGATATAAATAAAAATTCCCCAAAATGCTTCGTGGCCACACGAGCGACAAAACTTTAGTTCTTTAGGGTAAGTAGTGATGACAATTTTTTCTGGAAAATAGATAAACCACAAAAACGAAGCTAAGCTTTGTAATAAAACTATCAAGAAGGAAAATATAATCTGATACTTGTTTTCTAAAAATCGAGATACTTTAGTAAACCTACCATTAAAAACACGAAGTAAGCGATAAGTTTTGAGACAAACTAAGGCCACAACTGTGGTAAAGAAAAAACCAAAATACAGTGTTCTAATCATGCAGAGTCTAGGAGTTAGTTCAAAATAATAAAAGAAAGACAAACAAAACAATGCAATAATGGATATAAGTTGGATTGCAGACATTTCTCTGTTGGAAGATTTTACAAGAGGGGTGTCCCAATAAATAATAAATAAAACCAACACAAATAACGAACAAATCACGCCAAAGGCTGACCCAATCGAAATAAATAAACCTAAAGAATTTTTGATATGCAATCGTATTTCCAAAAGATCAATACATCTGGTTCGATTTTTATTCATAATGGATGTTGCAGAGCACTGTACACATGAATACTGATTTACACCACTAGAGACAGTATTTATTGGACATATTTCGCATATCCAACAACATCTTGAAGAATTAATTCTGTATTTACCGGGCTGGCAGTCAATTCCACAAACAGCTAGTGGGATGCGATTGTTAGACCAGTCAATCAGAGGATTGTCAATACTTGTCAAATTAACATTCCAGCTTCCAAATTTCTTAAAAGAATTGTTTATGACTTTCGCAAACTCATAGACTGGTGATACAATTTCACCAAATTCATTAAACTCTATAGAAAAATTGCTTTTTGGTACATTAAACTTTGTTTTTAAAACTTGCTTGTATAAAGCCTCATAATCTAATTTACCAGGCTTTTCTAAACATTCAGTATTCGTGCAATTCAAATAAAAATGAAGGCCACGTGCTAATGCGTACACTGCTGCAACAACTTGAGCCTGCTTTTTATTAGGCAATTTCTTAACAACACTACCTGAAAATTGACAGTCAGTTATTGAATTTGAAGACAAAAATTCATGATACCATGGATTTTGACAGTTAATATCACTTGACTTTTTTTCATTCCATATATCTTCCTCTAGATTATATATATTTTCGTGTTGGAGTCGAAGCAAAAATATGTTATGAGATAAATTGTTATTTGACAATTGAATAATTTCAGAACTTGATGCCCACTGTTCAGTACCTAAAATTTAAAAATAATGACATGTATGTATAATATTAAAACTTGATACCCACTATTCAGTACTTAAAATTTTAAAAAAAGCAGCATGGATGTATGTGTGCATGCAATTTTAATGTATTTGTATGAATATTATTTTAAAAAATAAACATTGTATTGACGTTAGTTCTACATCCGAATCAAATGCATTATTGGTTTCCAAAAAACAGTCTTAAAATATTTGTCATCATCCAAATTTAATCCTGCGTGAGCAAGTTTTTTAGCGTTATATTTCTTTTTGGGATTATAGGATTTTTAATTCTTTGATTTATTCAACTTTGAAATCTTAATCTTTTTTTTTACTTTCAAATTTAAATGACAAAAATTTAAGATCAATGACAAAACTTTAGCTTCCAGCAAATATTTCCTTGATAAACTTTTTGTGATTTGATAAACCAGGATTATTTTATTTTTTTGTCATGAGGCAGCTTTTAGTGTTGTAAAAATTGAGCAGACATTTATAAGCTTAGAGTTTGTAATTTTTTTCAGATTTTCTGCAACTATAAGTTAGTTTATGGATACCTGGTTTGCTGAACTCGGCAAAATGAATTTATTTTTACTTGCTTATATTATAAACTACAATTAGATTAAAAATCAAAATTAGACATATAGAAAAGTTTAATGTTAATTAAATTAGACATATAAAGTTTAGTTTACGGAAATAGTTTATCTGGAAGAAAAATTACTTAATTCCAGGTAGTTTAAAAACTAAAAAAAACATGTTTGTTTGAAATTTACAACAAAAATGTACTAAAACGTATTAAAATAATTAAGATTCATTCAACAACATACGGTTTGAGTAATCAAATTGTTATGATTATCAATCAAAAAAAACCCTGGAAACCACATTCACCAAAATGTTATTAAAACACTTGCCAATCGAAAAAAATTCTTTGATTGCACAAAAAAAACTTTTTACAATCAGTGCCAGGTCCCATTATACAAACACTTGTTTCTCACTATAACATTTGTAATTTTTTTTTTTTTTTTTTATACATAAATTTTTGAGAAAAAGTAAAAAAACAAAAACATAATACAAAATTATTTGTTTTTAATTTTGGTTTTAACTTATTTTTATATCAAACAGCATTATTGGTACATATTTGTACCAACTTGTAATACAAATGGTACAAGAGGGTACCAGGTCCTCCTCCCCTGAAAAAATTTTTAACGCAAATGTTCTACGATATTTTACTTTTTACTAAGAAAAATAATTATTTCTTCTTTCAAGGGACCTAACAAAACAGTTTAAGATAAAATAATTTTGAGATTACTAAGATTTAACTGTAGAAGGTTTAAAACTTAGAACACATAAATACAAAATATTGGAAAAAGGATAATTTATGTGTTTTTGTTAATTCATACGTACATTAATAAGCATTAAAAACAACAATATGTATTAAGAATTATGCTGATTTTTTTTTTTTTTTACAATTCTCTATTCGAAAAATATCTAAAAAGTTAAGAAAAATTATATCTTTTTTGATATCACAAATTCAATGTAATTTTTTACATTTTCAATTACTCAAAAAATAAAAACTTGTGTTAACCGAGTGGCAAGGTACAGCCAAGTTATGTTGAGTTGGATTAACATCTTCAATTAAGTACAACATTGAGTTAAACTGGAAAATTGATAGAATGTGATTATTTTATAGCACAAAAAAGTTGTTCTGTTTTCTAGAAATAGCTCATCAGGGAGGTCATCAACTGTAAAAGTTGATTGCTAGGCTGTTTCTATGAATAAAAAAAAGAGGTTTCTCAAAAAAGTGATTTTTAATAGTCATAATGCGGCCACAATCCAAGCATTGTCTTTCCTTTTACATGTTTAGAACAACACTGCTAATATCGCATTCGAAATGTCCTTCATTAGTCTTTTCTCAGTAGTTTTACAGTATTTGCATTCAATCGTAGCTTCATAAGATTGTAAATCAGCTTAATACTTAATGAAAAACTCATATTCAAATCCAAAATAATCTACTAGATAGCTTCCATCCATATATATTTGGTAAAATTCTACAAATTTTAACTACCCAACTAGTTTTTGCTTTATCCCATTCATCTTTATCTATTAGCTGAAATATTTCATATAAAGAACTATTCCAGGCTTCTGCTTTTATTAGGTGATTGAAAAGTTTTGCATTTCTTTGGTGATGACAGTATTTGTAAAGAACCATCTGGAAAAGTGTTCTACTTGTCAGAGTTATGAACTTTATCTATTTCTGACTCACTTGACAAAGCTTTACTTTGTGACCTTTTGCCATTTTTTGTATTTTTAATTTTCTTTTCGTAGACTTGTTCATCATCTTCATTCTCATCGTCACTTGTCTCCAATACAGCCAACTCTAGAAATATAGACAACATCAAACCAGACTTTTGAATTCTTTGATTTTTTTTTGTCGCTTGAAGGAAATAAAATAATGCTTGCAATGTGACTACAGCAACCAACAGTACACACTCCTGTTTTACAATAACAATACCAAAAATCAATGCTAATTTGTAACGTGAAGCTTATATCCAAGGCTCAAAATAATTGCTTAATGAAGCTATTAATAACTTCGATAATCCATCGAGTCTTTGTAATGAAGCAAGATTGATTCGGTTTTAAAGTTGTTAACTGTTTCTGGACTTTTCTAAGACAAACTGGCATTTTTGGATCAAATTTATAATCTTTTATAAGCTCTTCAATACAATCAGGGATTCCGCAATCCAATATATTGTTTGGTAGAATTAAAGAACATAAGCTTTAGGCCTTGATTAGAATCTCACTTAATATAGTCGCATCATTTTTTTGTTGCTTCAAAAAGGCCATAAACATTTAAGATATATCCATTAGAAGTATATATCACAAATGGCTTCACTAAGTGTTTCTTTTTTTTTGAACACTGAATGTTTTTGCTGAAAAATGTCATTGCTACTTATTTGACAATAGCATTAAGTTCTATCTACTATTAATATTAGATTACTTGTTTGAAAAATCTCTTTAGCAATAAGGCAATTGCTTTTTAAAATTTTTAACATTTCTTTGGATGTGGTTCACACTTAGATTATTTGGAACAAAATCAATGTTAAATGATTCTCTGACTTGTTAAAGTAAACAACTTATATCAAATTCAGAATCCAAATTAAAAAACATTGATATAGTCAAATAATCCAACCCAATTTTGAGCCAGAATATATTGATAAAGCCTGGGTTTTAGTGCGCTGGATTGAATTTCTCATTGAATCAAGTGATTCACTTATATTTTAATAAATTGTTTTCTTGTAAATTCTGTTATTCTAAGACATTTTTATTTATACTCGATCAAAGTTGTTTTATTTATGAAATGGTAAAAAAGGGAATTTTGAGGTACAGAATTACGCATTGTTTGGAAAAAGTTTTTAACCTCTTCTTTGATTTTTATATTAGCTTTAATAATTGATAACACCTCCATACTTTGTTTAATATAGTTGACAATTGAAAAAGATGAATGCTGCGCACCTTGAACCAGGAATCAACTTTTTTTTCTATATAGACATCAACAATTGCTTGATTAAAAATTTTCTCAACTTTTTGTATGAGCTTTATTTCCACAAACAAATCAGCTTTTGTGAGACAAAAGAGCACAAAAAAATCTATAAATACTGATTCATCATCAGGATTGAATTTTTTGTCAGTTGTTTTAAAACCAATAGTGAATTTGAAACTCTTGAATTATATTTGTTTTCTATTATTAATTGAATTGTTTATAGATTCCTAATATTATTATTTTATTTCGTTGTGAACCATTTTGGTACAGATTTTATCATTTTTCTTATTCAAATCCATTTTTTTTTTTGGATTTTATTTAAAGTATTAACATTTTCTTCAGAACTAACTTCACTAAACTCTTTTAGTTCTAAACAAACATTACAGCAAGCACAGTATAATTATTGAGCATACTTTTTTGCCATTTAACTTTTAGCAATCAAAAAACTAATTACACATTAAATATCTTTACTTTAAATTATTAAAGGTTCCAAGTTATGTGGAAGCAGATAATCATGCTTCAAAAAAGATACTAACACAAGGCTGGGTGAATAAAAAAAAGCAATTGCTTTTACTCAGTAATTGGTCAGCTTTACGTGAATAAAAATTTCAACAATTTTGATTAAATTTTTATTTATGTAAAGCTGAGCAATTACTCATCATTTTTAGAGTAAATTACGTAACTTTACATGAATAAAATTTTAAATATTTCGCTCAAACTTTTATTCACGTAAAGCTGAACAATTACTCTAAAAACGCTGTGTAAAAGCAATTGCTTTTCTTTATTCATCTGGCCTACAGTTTGTTGCATTAGTTTGACAAGGTTTTGAATTAAATTTTTTATATTGGGAGAATTTAAAAAAAAATCTTTTAATTTTTTTTTAATGCTTAATTAAAATTGTTTATATTGTTTTTTTATTTATTTGTGCTTAATTTTTTTAGTTGATGCATAAAAATACATAAATAAATAAAAAATAATTATATAAATATTTTTATTTAAACATTTAAAAATAAGAAAAAATATTTATTTGCTATTCTCCTAATATAAAAATCAGTTTGAACTTTGTCAAACCAACGCAACAAGTTAGAGCAAAACAAAGTTGAAAAAAATAAAGCCTTATTAAAATTATATTAGTTTAAAAAATTAATTATTTAGACTATTTAATCTAGTTTTCTTGAATATTATTGATTTTTTCCAGAATTTTTTTCGTGTCAATCGGATAGATTTAAAGGTGATATTTAATGATAAATTGATTAAAAAGCAAAATTTTTATATTAAGAGGTGATTTTTTGGGGGCAAAATTTACATGATTATTGCATCATACTCTTTACTTATCTCTGATGTGAGCTTAAAATATTTAGAGGTGTAAAGAAAACTGTGGTAATTGAACGACAAGAAAGCTTTATAGGGTATCCAAATATAATTTTCATAAAAAAATTAGGATATTAGAGGATTTTA